CTTATAGGGAAACCTTGTTAGAGGCGGAGGCACCTGGTAGATATTTTGAATTTGATGACTTCTCAGGAAAAAAATTTCAGTTTAATCACATTGGGATAATTACTTACATTCAAGTCAGTGATTAAGCTTAATAGGTTGGAATGTACAAAAAAAAGCCTACCAGGTTGGAGTTTCATTTTTGCTTGCTTGTTTTTTGTGGTCTAGATCCAGAATTATAGACTTCTTGAAATATTTTGGGGTTAATATCTAAAGCATGGTCAATAAGCATTAATATTAATGTTACTCCCTTTGTTCTCTATTATAAACAAGAAATAATTGATTTTACCTATATTAAGAAAGTTGGTTATTTATATTAAATTTTCTTATTCTTAAAAGTTAAAAGATTCTTCCTAAATTGTTTTTATTATAAATGTCAAAAGTAATGTAACCGAATGATCATGCATTAAAGAAGAGATATTTTAGAGAAAATATCATTAAATGATGCAAATGTAATTAAAGAATAAAGAATAAAGAGAGTATTCTATAGTCCTATAATGACACCACTAAGCCATTATTAGTCATTAAGGATCTAATTTATTACATCATCATCCCTTGTGTTGAATTTTGGGGAACCACAGCATCTGACAGCATTCCCAAAACCATAACTCCCTTTTCCTTAGATGTCTCTCAACCTTTCTCCCATAACCTTAAATTTCTCTTTGGCCCTGAGGTCTTCAGCTGAAGATTTTAGCCATAGCAAATAGGGCAGAGTTTAAGGCTGACTGCTTTTGAAGGCCATTAAAGGAGTGTATCTAGTTTGTTCTGGTGCGCTGTTTTAGATTGATCCTTGAAGTAATTTTTAGATATTAGAGTACTGATATTTTTATGAATTAGTCACCTATACACTATCAGTGTAAAGTTTTTTTACACTAGCAACTAATCAGATCTGTTAATAGTACTATGTCATTTGCTTATTTAATTAAATTAAAATTAAAAAAATACTATTAACAGATCTGATTGGTTGTCAGTGTAAAAAAACTTTATACTAGCAGTGTATAGAAGATTAACTTTATTTTTATTATTCAAGTAATACTTGTTTGACTTTGGCTGCTTTAGTTTATTAGTCACATTGTCCGTTTTGACCTTAGACTCCCCCTCACCCTCTCGGTTTTTGTTTATTGCAATTTTTCGGGTTCTTATCTCTGGAATTTATGCTTGTGCTGAGACTATTAGCCGAAGAGCAAAATATGCCTAGAAACTTCGAGAAAAATATGCTTGTCAAAGTTAAGGTTGGATTAAAAATAAAGTTAAACTTTAGGGAAAGATGAGTTTAGTGAAGGATGATGTGCATCACTTGGTTTTTCTGGGTCCATCCAGGAGACCTGCTCTAACTGTTGTCTTAGTTTAAGGTCTAGGATTTAGGATTTAGGGTTTAGTATTAGTATATGCAAGAACAAAAAATTGAATCAACTGAAAGATAAATTTGTGTAGTTTGGTAAATATCATTGTCTTGCCAGCCATGCATAATATAGATGTGGTACCAATAGCAATGTTAGGTCGTACATAAACATCAATCAAATTACAGTATCCCACACAATTTGTTTGTTGTAGATTAACGTTGTTAATCAAAATTTGATGTTTACATAATGGCCAAGGTTCCTCTAAAGCGAGGTACATTTTTCTTTAATTTAACATGCATTGTAATGTCAACTCCTCATAATTTAAGAGTAGATATTCCCTTACATACTTTACAAAAAAACTCAGTTTAGGAGAGCTATCTCTTGACATGATTTTTTAACAAAGAGACTTGGGCTTTGTAATATGAGTGATGGTATGTATTTGGTCAGAATTCACGTATTCTAGGTGATGAAGATGTGTAATTGATATGGCCTTGCATTTCAAGTTACTAAACCATAAAGTCTTGACAAATGCAAAAATATATTTTGTTATGAAGATCTTAAACTTACAATCGTTGACTTAAACTTTTTCAGGCGTTGAAGTTGTGAATGCTGAAGATAGCAAGAGGTAGAAGAAAAAACCATTTTGTGAAGTCACTCTATAGAACTTGGTAGTTCGTATGAATCAAAACTTTTAACTCGTCTCGCCCATTTTAGATTCCGGATTATTTAGTTTTAGCTTTAGACGTTGACCTTGACAATTTTTGGATTAGTATACCAAGTACAGTATTGCAACACCTTTTCTTTTCCGGCAATATGGTTTGCTATGCCTACCACATCATTTTAATCTATAATATATTATTATATATAACTGCAATAATGGTAATATCTCTTTTTGGTTTTACTTCTTTTTTAATTTATTTTATCCTTTAACTGTATACTATCTTTGAGTTTGGATGTGCATCCTAGAGGTAGCACTTATTGGATGAAAATTTTGACAAGATGTGGCTGTTTTGATGCCAAACATATTTTATAACTCATTTTATTTTTCTTATTTTTCTCTTGAATTTAAATTTGTCATACATATTGCATGTCTATCCAAAAAAAAAAAAAATCTCCTTCCAATGTTCATTTATGGTATTTTTAAATTTACCCAAGTAATAATGCTATCAGCAGTCCCTTTTTTTTCCCGTAGTTTTACACAATGGTAAATTGTTATTGATATTACTCTGCAGTATTTTTTTTCATGCATTTTCTAACGTGACATTTTAGACCCTTGCATAATTTTGGAATTTGATATTTCTCTGGGTTTCGAGATGAAAAGCAAGCGACAGGTAGTCTATAAAATAAGTCCAATTTGTCTGTAGACCACAGCTTTTCATTTCCCGCATTTATGTTGGCAACTGGAACAGGATGGGTGGTTAGTGGTCAGGAATTATCTTTAATTATGTATTTATGTTGGAGATTAAAACATCTCAATAGGGGACCTGTTATACTATACTATAAGCTAAAAGTAATGCTTTTTTTTGTTACTTTATATTTTTAAACACCTTCAATTTTTCTTTAATTATTTTCCTTATCAAAACATATTACTTATCATATTTTTATTTTTCTCTCTCTTTTCCCTTCTTTTTAGTAGTATGACAATTAGTTTTGTAGTTGTTTATTCGATTTTGTATTATTCTTTTTATCTCAAGATTTTAGTTTTTTTTTTTTGGTACCAAAACAATTGTCTTTTTAAAATTTTAAATTCTAATTAATTTTATTTTTCAATTATACTCCAATCTAATTGAGTTTAGATTAGATAATAGAGTTGAGATAATAGGATATTAATTAAAAACTTTAAAGTTTAAAATTTTTAAATCTATTAAATGATTTCTAATCCATGTGTTCTATCATTAAAAGGACGAGCACGATAAAGTAAAGGAAATGCGTGTATATATTATTGACCAAACTTTGTTTTTCTCTGTTAGACTGTTATTTCTTTAATGTGCTTTTGAAGTTCTTTTTAATTGTTCATTTGTTTTTAATAGAGAAGATTAAAACAATGTTTTAATCAAATGAGAAATTTATTAAAATTATATGAACTAAATTAGAATACGTTGATGTTGACTTTTGTCATAATTACTTTAAATGTAATTTTTAATTGATTCATAGTATAAATTAATGGTGTCCATACGTCACAATTCTTATTTGTAATTATAATTTCATTCTTATTTTGTCCAAGAATCATCCTTGGATATTATAATTGTACTTAGATTGTAATTACAAGCGTACAAAAGTTGAAATTTATCAGATATTGAAATTAAAGAAACGGCAAATAATAATACCCTATAGATTTGCTTCAACATCAATCTTCGTTTAACCTATCTCCATGTATATTCAAAAGTAAGTCTACTTTTCTCTGCTGAGCACAGGTAATGCTTTTTAATTCCAAAGCATGAGGAAGAGAGCTGGTTAATTGTAGCTACACTGCAAGGTGCTCAACCTCAAATGGAAAGTGAAGAATCCATTTCAACTTTGAAGTTATCAAGAGAGTGTGAAATTATATTAGGAACTGCAGAGAACAAATTTCAATATAAACTTTATAACTTTAGCATTTCATTTTTTCTTTCAAAGTGCGGGGAGCTGATACATAGTAAGTTCTAGAGCAAGAAATAAAATGGATAACATGACAACTTAGTTCAAACTTAAGAGAAGCCTATTAAATAAACTTATTATCATATGAATGACAATAGTGAAGAACAGTCATAAGCCGCAGCAACTAGTGTGAGAATCAAACCTCTTGGACTTTAACAGCAGTAGCAACTTGGTTGACTTCCTTGTTGTGTTCTTCTTCCTTCTTCACTTCCTTAACTTGTTCCTCCTTATCCTTCTTCACTTCCTTAACTGGCTCTTCAACCTCAAAAGCTGAGACTGGGAATGTCCTGAAAAGCCCTGAAGGGGTCTTGAATGTGATCTTCCCAGTGGGTGGATCATCAACAAAGATCTCATTCAGTGTGATCCAAACCAAGAGCTCCTTGGTCTTCACACCAGTCAGCTTCTTTATCTTGCCAAGCTCAACATAGGCTGTGATCTCAGGAGCATAGGACACTAGCTTCCCAATCTTCTCAAACTTGTGGTTTATGGACTTCTTCTGCTTCAGCCACACAAACCCACTTTCCTTCTCGTACCCTACTTCCTCAATGTCCTTCAAGGGCAGAAGACCATTGGGTAGCCCTACTTCCTTCAACAGTAACTTGGACTTTTCTCTGCAGAGTTCATCTCCATGGTACACCTCTGATTTGGCTTTGATCTCTGCGGTCACTAGAGACATCTTTTCTCTTTCTGATGTTACGATCAGTCAAGGCTATGTGATTGATTATGAAGGATCAAGGGAGATAGGTGGGGTTCATATATAGTATTCATGCTATCACTTTGCCCTCCTATCTCACATAAACTTCAACAAATGCCACTCATTAATTTGTATTATATATATATTTATTTCAAAAATAAGTCTATTTATGCTTCTTTTGTTCAATAATTAATGTTACATATCAAATTTTAATGATTTAATTGTTGAATTTAAAATTTTTAATATATATATCAAATTTATAAGTTTTTAAAAATTTTAAAAATTATTTAATACTTTATTTTATTAATTCAAACTAATATATAAAATGATTTTGTAAGAAATTTTTCTCATCACACTCACTCGACCAAAGACTAATCTCATTTGTGGTATTATGATTGTTACCAATAAAAGTCTAACAAATTTTCATACACGTAATAAAAATTGAAAATGAATTTTTCACTACATAAATTGTCTCCACAATATACACAATATATAAGCATAGAGGATAGGACAACTGCAATAAATTGTATTATTATTAATTTGTACCATGTTATGTTATTTGGTAGCTCACTATTAAGTTAGTTGGTAGGCAAAAGGTGTGTCTTAAATGCCAGTGCGTGTTGCTAGTATATGGCTGCAGTTGAGTATTAAAGAGTGAACAAATGAGTGTCTTTTTGCAGTAACTTTATTTCAATAAAATTGGTTTGAGGCAGGTGTCCTTCTCTTAACTAAATCAGTTTTTAGGAAGCGGATTCAATACAGTTGGAAATTGCACCTATTTTTAGAACTGTTATGAGTTGTTCCATCTTTTTATGACAGTAGCGTGTGTGTTATGGCACGGAATCTCCCTATCTATATTCCAATTTTTATCATTTTTTGAATCTTGTTTGCACATAATCCTCTGTAAGTAACGTTACCCTCTTTATTTTAAAATATAAAATTACAAGGTTAATATTTGACCGTGTCAAATTTTCTTTTATTCACTGGTTCATCAGATGCGCAAGGTTTTAGATTATTCGAACTTCTATACTATCATGGTAATTTCTAATGATAAATATGGTGGGTTTCTTTTAATTATGAAGAAATTATAGTCTCATTAGATAATTGATTTATTATCTTTAGTGTTTTCCTTTCAGCTTTTAATTCATATAAGAGTTAGGTCACCAGACAGTTTGGCTAATTTTCTAAACAGAACACATTTATATGCCTTTTATTACAGCGAACTAAATTATTTACTATTTCACCTGTTACCATCGAAAGAAAAACATCTACCCTGTTAATATTTAAAGATACAACGTTAGTCATAGCATTTCTATTAAAATTTTAGCAACAAAAAATATGAAAATTGACAATGAATGAATGGCAAATGTTGAACAGTATTTCTTAGTCAGCAGCAATAACCTAGAAGATTAGTTGGAGTACTGGATGAACTACCACGTTATTCTTGACTCTACTTGTCTTTCATTCAATTATTTATTTCCAAAGAATTTGTTGAAATGCATATATATATATATAATATCATATACAGTTGAAAATTTAATGCATAATAAAGGGTGAAGCGTGTTTGGTTTGGAGACAAAAGACAATCAGTATAGTTGGGAAGGTGGCTTCTTTATTTCGTGATTAATGGATTATCCACCATCCAACACACCTCACATCATTCTTAATTACTTTTTTCAATTCTTTTAGTAGGAATTTAACTCACAACTATTTTAACAAAAATATAAATTCACTAGTAGATTTAATATTTATATTTAAATTACTTAAATAAATAAATCATGTATTTTTTATATTTTAATATAATGAATATTTCTTATTCATCTTTTTTTTTTAATCAATATTTTAAGGACTTGATCAACATTATCCTATTAGTAATCACTAAATATGAGCGAAATATATATATATATGAGGATATTTCAATTTTTTTGTTTTTATAAAAATTAAAAAAATAATGTAAACATTTTAAAAAATTAATGTTAAAAGTGTTAAAATCTAGTATAAAAGATATATAATAACTTTCCCATTTCTTGTGTAAAATCTTCAATAATACTGTATATTTTAAGTGATTATCGTTTAAAGTTGTATGCAAAGATTAAAAAATAGTAATTATTTTTAATTTAAAAAAAATAAAATTCAATTGGTTATAATATTATCTTACTTTATTATACCAAGCGAAAGTTTCAATTTAATTAGTGATATTGAACCACTAGGATTCAGTGGGAAGGGGTTGAGATAGTTAGAAGTATGAGAACCTAAGTTCAATTTTCATTGCGACCATTTTTGTAATCTTTCCTATCTTTACAAAAAAAAAATTAATTAATGATATCAAATTTAAATTTTGAATATATAATTAATTGTGTTAAATAAATAAATAAAAATTATTGTCTCACTTTGTTGATATTTTGATATCCCACTGAATAAAGAAACAAAACAATATAAGGATAAGATTAAAAGAATAATATCTTACTTTTCTAAAATTAAAAAAAAATGAAAACAAACTGAATTTCTTGACGTGATACACCGATACTATTTATTTTAAAATAGAAAATTTATTGATTTCAAAATGAAAAAATATATTTTCTATTAATAAAATATTTAGACAATCGTTATATACTTGTCAACCTCAAAAATAGTGTTCTTCGGTTACTACCATAAGTAATGTTTTAATATTATAATAAAAATATATAAATGAATGTTGATATAAGAAATATACTAATATATGTTTTTTTTTTCGTGTAAACAAACTAACTTTGTTGAAATTAATTTTCGTGCAAAGTGATTTTACATTATCAATAAGAAATCAATGTGTACGGTGAGTTCGTTGATTTTAACAATAGCAATACACTTGCACCACAAGAAATTTATAAAATTTTAGCTGGTAAGTACTCTCCAAAATAAAATATGTTAGAAAATAATATATCACGCTTAGTTGTAATCGTAAAGTCAAAGTTAATAATTCAAATTGAAAAGATTGAGTTTTTTTTTTAATCTTATCCTCAAATTTAGTGTTTACATGACAAACACTGATCTTTCGTGTGCAAATATTGTTTTGGACTAATAATAATGTGAAAACATCTTATCTTTCATGTAATAATATTGTTTTGTTTATATTTTAAAAAAAAATCTATTTTTAATAAGTAATTTTCTATTTTTTGAATATGCTTGTTTAAACTGTTTTTTTAATGATAAAAAACTATCTTTTAAATAATAATAAATTTTCAAAAGAAACTTCTATCTTATTAAAAGATATTTTTTTAAGAACCACTCTTTTAAGAAATATATTTTTATTTTAAACAAACTAATCCAATGTCTTAAAAACTAAAATAGAAAAAATATTAATTTAAATAAAAATCTAATTAAATAAATTAGTGCAATAATTATAATCTTTCTTTTTCATGTATATACATGTACTTCAATTAAGAAATAGATGAAGATGAAAGTTTATTTTTTATTGTCGTCTTTATAATTTCTTTTATCAAGAAAAAAAACTAAATATTTACACATTTATATCATAAATACTCATTGGTCATCCATATTCATTCATATTTATATATGACACCAATATAATTTTTATCAACTATTATATTATTTAATAATTTTTAATTAAATAATTATTTCTTAAAAGTTATCGTTAAATCAAAAATTTCTTATTCTTAAATTATAAATACATTTTATATTAATTCAAAATATTTTGATACTTCATTTATATAAATATCAAAATTAAAATAATATATTTATTTTAAAATATAAACAATTTGATTATCTCTTGTCCTTCTAATCATTGTTCAATGTTAACAAAATTAGACATAAACATAAAAAGATAATATAAAATTATAATTCAACGATTAAATCAACAAAATTTACTTTTACAATAAAGTTTTTAAACGATATAATAATAATTAGTAAAAATTACATCAATATTATTAATTTTATGATTATTTGTCTATTTAAATAAAATATCAAATAATTTTTAAATTTTTAAAAAATTTACAAATTTAATTTATATATTAAAAATTTTAAATTCAATAATTAGATCATTAAAATTTGATATAGAACATGAATTATTGAACGAAATAAATAAATCTTTCTTTATATATATATAATTCAATTATTTAATTCACTAATAGCTTGTGATTCAAGGCTATACATCCAAATTAACTTTGTAAGGTTACTACCTAAGTGATTATCTTATATATTTATTATGTTTGTTAACGTTTTAATGTATGAAGTGTTTGACATCATCATATCTTCTGGAAGAGGGTTTGTAAAGATTATTACCATATTTGTCAAAATATTTGTGCAAAAGATCACATTCCAACAGTAATGAACTATATGAAGTCGGCCATTTGTTAATCATCAATTATTTACAACACCAGGCAGGAAATGAGCCATCATTGGGCACAAAAGATTGGGGAACACGTCAAGCCAAAGGAATAGCAACAAACTAAGATTCTTATTGGTTCAAAATACAAAGAGGAAAAAAAAATGGAAAAAAAAAATGAAGGTTTAGTTAAAGTCAAAAAAGAAACAAACTCTTCATTTACCTCTTCAATCAAATAAAAGAAAATATATCATTTTTCCCATGTTGAAAAATCATGCAGAAGACCAAAATAAAGGATAAAAATTCAGTTGCTGCTCCGGTCAAATGCCATGCACGTTTCAATGATTCACTGTCCTGTGGCCTACCTCTTTAGTTGTTTTGAGTGTCCACAGACCCCATTCCATGGCAGAAATTGTTTAGCAAGGACTCAATATGCTTCATTTCTTTTGGGATTGATGCTGTTAGGACCTGTGTTGTGTTGGTTAGCCAAACTCAATATTAGCAACCCAATCACTGTTACCAGTATGTATGTAGGACAAAACATCGGTAACGCTGTTTAGGGATTTGTGGAAGAACAAAACTAGGTGATGTTACCAGTAATCACTGTTACTACTATTTCTTAGATGCTTGTCATGTTATTTCTTTTATAGTTAAAATCGGAGTTTTATCATGATAACCGACACCGACCTCTAAAGCTCTAAAGAATGGCACCACAATAACCTGGGGAATAGCTCCTAAATTACTGCTCTCCAATATAAACATACATGCACTATTTTTTAGCCACTTTATTCTATTTTTGTAAGACAAAATGCTAACTAATGTGGAAAGTACAATTTAAGTAATCATGATAGAAAGTTCTTATTAAAATCTTATTAATTTACACCCACCATGATTTTCAATGTATCCCTAATATGATTTCCGAATTTTTTTACTGTTTATTAATTCTTTAACCATTGTTCTAAGGCCATCTCCATTCCAGCAACTCATGTTTTTTACTTTGTGAGGTTTTTAAATGGGTCTCACTACACATCATCTATATTTACTTATTAAAATTTAAGCAACTCACTTTTCAATTCCAACAATTCTAAAACTTTTACTAATTGGTCTTACAAATAACCTCGCATCTTTACGTTTTATCAATATTTCACAAGAATTCATGTAGGTCCCACAAGAATGTTAAGATACGGTGTTTATATAAACGCCTTTTGTTCAAGGCTGCTGAATAAGAACTTCTTCCGATTGGTATTTTTTAATAGGCACCGGCGTACTTAACAAATCCCAAAAATGTAAGCACATGCGTTGGAGGTGCCCTGAGACCCTTATAAAAGTGTTCATAAATGAGGTGAAAACACTAAAGATCACTGCAAACACTGCAGAAACTGAAACTAAATCTATGAACTCTCACTCTCAACACACACCCCAAGAAAAAGTCACTGTCAATTATTTTGCTTCAGCTGGCTGATTTATTTTGATACTCGTAGAAGCAATAGTTTGTAGAGATATATTTACTTAAACACGGTGCATCCAAGTTTGTAAAGATGCTAAGGATTTAATTCTGATTTTACACGATAATTGATGGGGATAAATCTGGTACCTTGATTAATTTATAATGTACCGACACCCTAATATTGATTGGTTTCTGGTTAGACAACGATGGATCACACAACTAACAAAACACATTCAATGATACTGTATAATACGACTTAGAGTACCTGCGAAAATCTAATACTTTACGGATTTCAAAGATTAATTGTGACTTGTGAGAAGTTGCAATCGATAAAATACATGACAACTCATCAAGGGTGTACTAGTGTCCATAGCAGCGTGTATCACTCTCTTGCATTGTGACATCATTTAAGAGTTTGGCTTTGGCAACTATTTAACCATCAAAATCTTGGATTAAACCGAAAAGTATAGCTAATGCCGAGTATAAAAAATATTCTCCACTTGTCGGCTAGCGAGTGTATGTGCAAGTGCTTAGTTTTAATTTTTTTTTAAGGATGAAACTTGAAACTTGACTTGTTATTTAGATTTTTATGGTTTTGTTTATCAGAGACTCCATTTCTAGCGTTCCTTATCCTTTAAAATAATGAACTCCTCTATTGCAACCGTTGTAACCGCATATGCATCTGTAATTCATTATTCTACCGCTCACAAAGAAGCGCAATCAGAAGATAAAATCTAGATGTATCAAATTGACATACTAGTTGCAACTGCAATATTTTTCAAGAAATTACCTCGTAACCAGTTTCTGTGATAAGAACCCCATCCTCAATCCGTATCCCAATGCCTTGATACCTGTAATTGGACATGTTCCAAATTTATTACATTGCACATGAAACAAACATTTAATGCCAAGATTGAAGACAACTTAAATACTCACATGGAATATATGGTGAACAAATATGTACGGTGAATGACTATAAGGACGTCACAAATAGAATACAGATGAGAAAAAAATAAAATCCATATTGTGGTAGCCCAAATGTATAACTGGTATTACGACTGAAACAGATTAACTTAAGATTCTTAATTGGCATATGAAAATTTCAACATCCAAAAATGGACCACATCTCTTGATGGATTAAAGGGTTTAGGAACTATACATCTGTATGTAGAACTTTGGCCCCATTGGGTTTTCTGGAATGATTTTAATAGGAATACAGATGAGAATGAAATAGCCATTTACACTTGCATGTGTGATATGATTAAATGACTTCCATTTTAGTCCTATACTTGGTCTGCCAAATTAAATAGGAGAATAATAAAATATTTTTTATGACAAAGGATGGAGCTGGTGCAGTGGCAGTTGGGGGGTTGGTGAAAGTAGGGCGGTGACGGTGCAGTACTTATAGAACATGACTTCTAGCATTTTTAGAAAAGACATAGGATATAAAGGTAATTGCAGTCAATAATGATAAAACGAAATACGCTTCCTATTTTGGAGGGAATGGCTATTCCCTCTTTTTGATGGTATAAAAACACCCTAGGCAATGACTAGTCTCATTACAAAATTTCAAATAAGACCTTAGTTAGAAAAGATTATGAACATGCAGAGTAATCGATGCTTAAGCATCCTTGGAAATAGAACCAACCAGATTCTTGGAAGGAAAAATGGAAGGTACAATTCTTTAAGATAGTCAAGTTTGCATGTTCAGTAGAAATAGCTGGTAAACCGGGAAAATTGCATAAGAGAAGCAAGCAATGGGAATCATCAATTTGTGAAAACAAGCTCTTTAATCAACCTCAATAAGTACCTCTCTGAACAACTAAAAGAAGATGGAATGTACACCCCTGGTTCAATAGTTATCACCTGCACATAGCCACACAAATTATAAATAAATAAAAAAATAAAAATAAAAGCTGTCAGCTAATATTGGGTACACATTGTCCATATATGCAACTCTGAAGAAAAGGTCCACATAAGCAGGCAATCAAAGCTCCAATGAGGTTGTCTAGCTCAAAGAGGGTTAAAACCATGGTTTTAAATTGCAGTTGGAATAATCCTTGATGTTGTAGGAAATTGCAGATAAATGTGATCACCCGCATCAATTCACCATCTAGCAACCCCCAGCCCAAAAAAATTTATATACTTTGTTAGTTGAGCCAGAAATTATTTTGCATTTATATTACATAAAATATGTGGTAATGATAACCCAAAAAGATCCCCGGGATGTAAACTTAAAAACATTATTCAGCTAGCTCTAGCATTAAGATATTTTTATGCAGAAGAGTTCTTCTAATACCAGTTAGCTGAAAGTACCTATACTTTCAATGTAACAGTTCTGAAATCAGAAAAATATGAGCTGGCATTGGCACGCTGCATCTATGAGACAAAACTTTGGAATATAAGCTATTACTTGATTAATTATTAAAAATAAAAATGAAAAGAAAGTGATGAAAGTACTGGACTAGTACTTTAAGGAATCAAATATATCTTCAAATCTTGAATAGTCACCAATAGGTGCACAGCAGTGTTTAGAAAACACTGATCAGGTATAACTGTACAAGTATTTGACAGTTTTTGTGTTTAATTAAAATATACTTCCTCGGGACTCAAATACAAGCAAAATTAACTAACTTATGCGCCAATTAAGAAAGTTAGTTAACATCATGCAATTTTACTGATCTCTATAAATAATAAACTTTTCCATATATTGTCCTTCATTTGAACTTGATATCAAAAATTAAAAAGGATCATTGGAAATAGAATCTCAATTAAATAAAGGTTATTTTGGAGATGATATCATTAAATAAAGTAAAATTAGTTAAAATTTACTTATATTTTGGTCCACCATTCATAAGATTTTTTTTTTTATTTTTTATATTAAATCCAGAGAGAGTACTCAATCTGGTCTTAAGGCCTAACCCAACCTCCAAAAAACCAACTTGTAAGGTAAAGACTGTTCAACTTTATGAATTCTATTTAAACCATTTCTCTAGTTGATGAAGGACTAAATCACCACCCTTGAGGCTGCAATTCAAGCAGCTCCCAAAGAGATAGCAATTAGCAACTAAGACAAGCTAGGGTGGGGTTGAAATTAAGGCAGCTTTCCAACACTCTCCCTTATGTCCAGGGCTATTGGCTAGGAGCATGACAAATGCAGGTGGGCCCAATAATGGATCTAGGATGAGTTTTGATATCATCTTAGAATTTTGTCTTTGGACCTACCTTCAGCCCACAAAATTGACTTGTATAGTTTGAACTGACCAAGCTTTAAAAGCTATATTTAAATCATATCTCTAGTCGACATAGGACTAAATCACCACCCTTAATGTTGCAATTCAGACAGCCTCTAGAGAGGCCATGACTAAGGCAAGCTAGAAGACCACAACTAAGGCAGCCTTCCAACAGATACTGTAATGTGATTTTGAAATCAAGAATTATGATGGTACTTGTTGAGAGGAAGAGATAGCAGGAGAGATAACAGAATCCAATGTGCCAATAAACACAGCCAAGTGTATATATTGTGTGGCTAGTAATTAAGGAGAAAATAATTACTTAATTACCATAATTATGTAAATTCTAGAATTGCCTAATTATCATAATTAATGATATCGAACAATATCCAAATATTACCTAATTACTATAATTAATGATATAAATAAAAGAATAGAATATCTAACACACCCCCTTAAACTGGAGGATATAAACCTTATGCACTAGCTTGTTACAAATAATCAATTTCAGGACCCCTCAAAGACATGATGAAGACAACAACAACTTGATCATTAAAATTGACAAAATTAGTGGTGATGTCACCCGATAAGATCTTCTCCGAGATGGAGAGACAATCTTCCACAATGTGCTTAGTTCTCTCATGAAATACCAGATTTGAAGCAATGAGCAAGGCAGCCTGATAATCAGTAATTAGTGTCATTTGTATAAGATCTCCAAACATAAGTTCTTTAAGCAATTAAGTGAGCCAAATAAGTTATCCCATGGCTCGATACTTCGTTTCTTCATAGTGCAATGACATTTTGTTCTTTACTTTTTCAAGAAATCAAGTTACCACAAAAAAGAATGCAATATCTGGAGGTGGATTTCTTGTTAGTGGGAGAACTTGCTCAATCTGCAAATGAATATCCCACAACTTGAGTATGACCTATGTCTTCACACAAAAGACCTTTTCCTGAAGCTTCTTTAATATATTTCAGAACACCAATGTCCTTCACAATGAGAGTTAAGAAATTGACTCACTAACACAACCAATACCCAGTTGGGTGACAAGAAGATAATTTAGCTTCCCAACCAAATATAGGTGTATCAACACTCAACAGGCTTAGCATTCATCAATCTAGTTTCCCTCCAAAATATCCAGCACACTCAACAGGCTTAGCGTTCATCAACACCCAAATTGGCTTGTGCTACCTATATCCCTAAGAAGTAACAAATTTTACTTAGATCTTTAGTTTGAAAATGGTAGCACATATGTTAATGTCCTATATGTTGTCATAATTATTATTTAATAACACATTACAATTCCATCATTACTACTATTTTAATTAGACGTTGCATTTTCATTTAATGCGCTGTAAATATATGTATCGTCTCTCTGATTTAAGCATCTGTAACGTTTCTCTTCTCTGCTCTAAAGCCCCTAATGGCTATTTAATGAGAATGGCCCCAAGTGGACAGAGCAGTTTTCCCAAAAAGTATTCCTAATCATTTTTTATATGCTTCTTATGATCTTCTGACAACATATGCTACTTTAACGGGGTGATGCCATGGTGATGACTACATGTAATAATAACTATTCTTAGTAACCAAGGCAAAACAATAGAATGAACATCCATAGCAGAGGGAGTTTAGGGTGGCACTCGCAATAAAGTAGACCACATAAAATTCAAAGTAGGAATAGTAGGAGAACCCAAGATGTATTCCTGAATAGAAGAATACTCCAAATGTAACCCATATAAGGCCTACAATATGGAGAAGGTCTTCCACGGTTCATGTTCCTAGGTTGGGGTGGCAACAAGCGGCAGAAGCTCATTGAAGTATGAACAAGACTGTAAACTTTTTCCAAATATCCCATTGTAGAACCATCAAGGCGGCTAGGGGAAATGATACTCATGAGGGATTGGCAAACCCCGCAAAAGCATCAAGTATGATTGGTGTAAACTGTAAAGAACCTGTGTTTGTTCCCAAACTTTTGACAAGTCACGAGCAGAAAATATCTTCTTTAGAGAGGGCTGAATGGTGGATTTCAAACACCACAGTTGGGCATCAATATTGTTCCAGCAAGAACAATCAACCACTAGGATAGAATCAACTGTCGTTGTTAGGTGATTAACATAGTCTTGACCCTTAAGCAGAGCCTGATGTCGAAAGCCCAAGTGTTATAGATGGTACTATCCAATTTGTCCATCAACCCTGTTGTGCTTGCTCTACTGTTCTCTATCACAAAATGCACTTTCTTGTTCATTCCGAGCCCTTTTACTCCATCACGTTTACTTCAGACTATGTCCTATTACTCCATCACATTTTCTTCATACTATGTCCTTTTAGGGGTTTAGGGTTTTTAGGGAGCTTAGGATTTGAGGCTTGGGATTTAAGGTTTTTTGGGTTTAGGTTTTTTTGGGCTTAGGGCTTAGGGTGTCTAGCTTTAGAAAGCAGACTGAAAAATGTGAAAAGTATGTAACTGTATTTCTCATTTTGTGATAGTGGAGCAAGCCACTTATTTATAGTATAAACTGTCTTCATGACAGTTCTAACAAACTAATCATGCGACCTATAACAAACTAACTATCTCTAACCAACTTGAGAGTCAGTTTTTAAACTGCTCCCTTTACAATTCACTCACACTGGTAAAGGTGTAGTAGAACCAAAACAAAAGAAAAAAGTAGTGTCGAAAAAAGATGGCAGTGACACTAGCCAATAACCGAATAGACATGATTTATGGGGGAAAAAAAAAACTGGCATTGATGGACAGTCGGTTCATCTAGATTAAACAGTGCAGTGTATTACTTATATAGCATGGGTAATAACTACAGAGAAAATAATGTCCTAATTACCATAATTATGTAAATCCTAGAATTGTAGTACCATAATTAAGGATATCTAACAATATCCAGCAATAGCCTATTACCATAAATAAACAGTTTTTTTACTTTTTTTATTTTTTGGGTTGGTTTGGGTTATGAGAATTAAGAATTAAGGACTATCGATTTTTTATAATCAGTGTATTCTGGGGATTGGAATTTCTGTGAACATGAGCAACGTAAGGTGGGGACTTACCAACTCAAAGATAGTTTGCAGAAAATACATTGCCCAGCCATTTGTTGTTTAATGCATGTTAAAAGTTTAAAATTACTTGTATTTCAATTTCCCCTTTTTTTTTGGTAACCATGGTAATCAATTTCTCCATATTCTAAATATTTATATATAACAAAAATTGCATTATAGGCAAAGATAATCTTCACTATCCACATATAGAAATTCATTATTAAATTAAATGTTATCTGTCAGTGGTAGAAATTATCTCAAATTTATAGAAAATAGATATAAAAAAATGAAACTGCTGCTCAGCCGGGGAAAAAACTTACAACACCTGGCTGCAGAGGACAGTCAAAGCTGACCATTGAACAATCATGAATGTCCATCCCTAGATAGTGACCTGAACCAACAAAATGTGATTAGATAAATATATATATATATATAAGCAGTCTCTCTTGGCTATCACATTTTTTTTGTCTATAAACTTCAAACTAGCTTATGAGTTATGAATCTACTAAACAATTTTTTTTCTTCTGATGGACACATATTGCATGCATTGTCAGCAGGCAGTTGTGAGCACAAAGCTACCTATAGAAGTCGGGTTCAGCTTATGGTACGAACTGCTTCTAACATCTCTCAAAATCCCAAGATCCTTGAGTCCTTTCTGCAGCATTTCAACCTATGCAACCAGATCATTTCACGTTTCACTCTTTGTACAGCATCTGCTAGTTTAATAAACAATAATACAGCATCCGAAAGTACAAAAAGAAAAAGCAAGATGACACTCAATAAATAAAGATGGGCCAGTCAAGAAGATACTCAGGCAACAAGCGTCAAGCACACACTAATTGCTGTTACTGATTATGAGATAGTGTTCATCATGCATGGGGAAAAGCAAATATTGAAAGTTTTTTGGTGAGGAGGGGATGTGTTGATACAAAACAAAGGTTTTTAAAAAAAAAAATTTGAGCATTAACTATGCTAATTGGCAAAAAAATATAGGTTCAGTTCCACTTTAAATCTTGAGACAGAGTTTACTGTCAGGTGAGATACATTCAACCCAAAGTATGCAATTGAATTATGGGACAGTTCCAACAAGCCTATAACAAAAACCAGATATAATTAATTTGCTCTGCTCTCCCTTTTGTATCCCCCCAACTGATCATAGAATAAAATAAGAATTAATCAAATGACAGTGTTGAGAAGATTTAAGAATGAGTTTCACATAGAAAAAAAAAATGGATATTAAGGAGAAGAAACCTATGCTTTAGTACCCACAAAGCATAACAGCCAGCATCCAACTTTTAGGCAAAACAAAATACAGCATTTGTTTGCTAATACTGGAATAGAAGCAATCATAAATGTTGTTGAATTTAAAAAAATCAAAATATGCAGATGGGAATGCTATATTGTTACTAAATATATGCTGATGCAAGTTTCTACTTTCTACTAGCTAAGACAAACTATTTTTACTTAATTACCATGACATTCTACATATAGTTAAATATTTCCTAAACAATTTCAATTTTGATAAGTTAATCAGATGATTTAAAATTTTTTAAGATTAGAACAACTGAGGATACTATTTTCCTGAGTCTCATCATCAAATGGAAAAGAAAAGACCAACAAAAAACTCGTACAGATTCTAATAATAATGACCAACATTTGTGTCAATCGCCAACTCTCCCTAAATAGTAAGTTGTTAGGCGAAGGCTTGTAAATCACATTATTATATCTATAACACAACCCCTCATGTTGAAAGGATGGACTATCACAGGCCCACCCAAACTTGTGATGAAATTCAATTTTTATTTAGATGTGTGAGAATGGCAAAGATTAAACTCTTGGCAACTTCGACATAGAGTCTCTAATACCACATCAATCACCAACTCTCCTAAAAGCTTAAGCTATTAGGTATGTTTTATGAATGACAATTACCTTATTACATCTCAGACAAATTGAAAAGGAGACAGGAAAAAAGGGATACCGAATGGTTGTGTATTTGCCTAATACTGGCACCAGGCTTACAAAGTTCCACACAATGCTTATTCGTTTCCAGTATAAGATCATAAAGCTCCTCCTGAAATATACAAGAAACCATGACATTCATATGAAAAGTGACAAGAATAAAGGAGCAAAGCAATATGTTAATTTACAAGTTAAAAGAACAAAGCATATGTGGATTTAGCAGTTTTATTCTATCTCAAATTTCACTGGGCATGAATAAGGAGTAAAAACTAAGCTTCAAACATTTTTATGTCATAGCATACCTAAAGCAGAGAAAGATCCTGGTCATTTTACATATTGCCATCCCCAATGGTGGGCAGGTGCAAGCTTTTGGCCCATTAAATCCCTTAAAGGAAAGAAAGAGGAGGGGAGAATCTATCCCTAATTAAATGTCCATGCATGCATAAATTATTCAGAGCATATATCACCAATTAAATATACTTCTATATGCAAAAACTTCCACTTTTGCTATAATGACTGGTTAGTATGTCATTTTCTATCTCGTCATGGATGATGAAGCTCCATATAAATGAGCAAGCCTTTTGGTTGTTTATTGAAATTTCAAACAAGACATTAACAGGAAGTTGGAACTAGAACACTGTTGTACAGAACAGAAGAAATCAGGATTTGTACAAAATAGTGAACATAAACACAAAATAGAAAAGGAAAATGGTGAAAAGACACTGCAAACAGCAGCCTCCTAGAGGTCTGCTTCCTCCCTTTTCAATTTTCTCTTTCCTTGTTCCCTCCTCCCAGTTTCCTCTCTTATTATTCCATTTCATTTCACAAAGTCTTACGGACCTTCACTGTTTCCAAGTTGTTACACTATACTGCTCCCCAAAAATAATCCCTACTCATATTTCTGTCATAGCTATGCACCTCTAATTCCCTGGTGCCCTTGCCTTTATTCCTAAATACACCTTAGTCTAGGCAGGATGTTAACATATATATGTATCTTCAATCACAACTAGAGGAAAACTTCATCTAACTAGTAAGGAATTCACTCTTCACTAAGAGGCCATTTGCCTAACAGTAATTGTTAATGCTTTTTCCCTTAAATCTTTAAGTATAGAGTGTAGAGGTGAGCAAATTCAAATATCAAAACTAGCAACATTTCCCATTATTTGTTGAGAAAGAAATCTTAACCCCCTTCTCTCTAAAAAGAAAAACAAGGAAAGTACAGAATTTTTTGTTTGAGAAAATATTTTCTGTTTTCACTTTTAATTACAAAAATGTCATTATTTTCATTATATTTTTAAAGGACAGTGAAAACAAATGTTTCTTATGCAAATCCTTGACAACAGAAAACAAATGAAAACAAAATAGCATTTTTTTTATAATTAAAATTGAAAACAGTAAATAAAAATAGTAAACATTTTCTCAAAGTAAACATTAAACAAACCATAAGATTTCTTGTCATAGTGAAGTTTAATATTGCAATTCTCAACCTTGAGTAGAAAACACCATATCATGCCCAAAAAAAGTCATATTACAAGAAACAAAGGTGAAGTTGTTTCACCCATCATAGAAATTTGATCTAGAACAAGTGAATCGTATATCAGAAGAGTTATACATCCACAAACAAGAATCATACAATTATATGCTCATCATGGAATGAGCTATGCAATAGAAAATTGAGACCATGCAGTCTGCTTACTCTGCTAGTCTTAGATTGCTATTATTTGATCAATAAATTGGATATCAAGTGATAAGAAAAATCAAGAAAGAAATATAAACTTAAGTTTACAGCATACAATGAAATGAAAATGAACCCTTATTAAGCTCTCATGTGACATGTACTTACGTAGATAGAATTGATAAAAGGACTTCAATCATGCTAACCTGGGCAGAAGAAAAGCTACCACAAGGTGGCCAGGTACGAGTAAGATCACTGGCATAACCATGTAACTCACATCCAACATCCATCAAAACAAGATCTCCTTGTTTAATCTGCCAAATATATGTAAAGATTAGAAACATGAAATTAAAAATACTACAAGATGCCATTTAGCATATGAGTTTACTCTCTGATCATTCCTAGAATAATGTATAACACTTCCATTAGGCCCACCACCAACCACAGGATTGAATCTGATGCAGAGAAAAAGAGAAAAATTATATCATTAACTATGGACAAAAGTGATGCTTAAATTATCAATAACAATACACAAAGTATTCAGGCATAAAAAAATTAGTCAGGAGCTCAAATCATTCAATAAAGAAATACTCACCCCATCCGCTGGGCACCTCTAATTTTGCATTCATATTCAACCTTTGCCGCTAGCATACCTTCAAAAGGGTATGTCTTTGAGTGCAGCATTGTCAACAAAAGAGCCTATTCAAGACCACAAAATGTTCAAATTATCAAGAGGCTATCACTTTGTGTCTAGGACCAACTAACAGTAAAATTATCAGATAACAGCCTCATTGGGAGTTCAAAATTTTTAATTACCAAGTAGTTAGCCATGCAATGGAGATGGAAGTACCTGACAAGCAATTGATGCAGATTCCTTCATCAGCTTGAGCTCTGCTGGTGACTTTATCCATCGCAATTGATGGGTATAAACAGCTAGATCCCTAACATTGTTACAGTAAGCTAGCTTTTTGAAAGATTCCAGTTCCATATATGCCGCAGTTGCTGTCTGAACATTGTGGAACAATTTTGATGATCCCCTTATCATATCTGGAAGGATCTGAATCAGTAATTAAAAATGTTAAATTAAAAATTACTATAAAGAATATAAGTAGCTATTCAACAGAGGAGAAGAAAAATGCACTTTTTAGACTGCAAAGCTGTGATAAAATTGGCATCAAAACTCCAGCAGGCTTAGCAATGGAAATATTTCAGATGTGAGGACAAAATAGTTGGCTATATAATTTCTAAAAAAGTAAAAGCTTTTGATAGTCAATACCAGTGATTCACCTCATGCAATTTTCTCATTGGATATGCCTTGTCAGCCTTGAATGTATCTAATGCTGCATCAACCCCTGCTATCTGCCCTTGCCAAATCACATCCTAGACAAAATTAAGGTTTTAAAATTATGTTAGATTGAGATTAGTTATTTCTTTAACCCATAACTCCAAAGAAGTCATGATAAAAATCACACACGCCATGACCAAATTCACAGATGATTAAATCTAACATGAAAAAACAGTTGAAATATTACATAGATTTATATTGATAATCTGGTGAGCAATCAGATACTTATTTAACAAAGAAAGAATATTATACATTATACATAAGTATACAATTGAATTAAATTTAAATACACTAACAATGTAAAGGTTTTTTACATTGCCTTGTATGGTAAGATTGTTGACTTGTAATAACTACTTTAAAAGTCATACTTAGGGTGATTTATAATTGATTAACAATGTGAAAATCTTTACACGGGTAATGCATGAACATTAAACTAATAAACAACTTGTTGCTTAAGATAATAGAAATTGAATTTTTTTCATGGATATGGTCCAAGCAATGTCTCAAAATTAACAATCAAAAATTAATTTGTGCTTGCAGAATGTGAGTTCTACTAGTCAAGCATTATTTTAACACCGACAGGAATTGATCCTATTTCCATCATCAATGTGCATTGCAAAACATAGTTCTATTTTTAAGAAGATATTATCAGACACACATATGGCTTAGCTTCTGGCATGAACATGCATAAACCACAGTCATGTCCTAAAACGGCCACACCACCAGGTTGTTGGCAGCCTGTGATATACAAGTAATCAGCATCTTGTCGAAATGTATAAGGCACAACATCTGTCATCATCTTTACTGGGGCAGAAGCAATGATTGCCAAACTCTTCTCTGGAAGAAGTTCCAACAACTTTTTTCTTCGTAGGATGTATTCCTCTGTAGATATGCCCGGTGTGAGCTCCCCATCTTTTAGTAACTAAAATGTAACATAAAAAAAAATGTTAATCAGTCTTAACAAACAAGTAGTTTAGTAAAATGCTCTATAGTCATATCATGTCACATAATTTCCTAATTTCGTTGTATCTAATATATATGTGTCCCAGTTATATTTTGTTCATTTCATTAGTCATATCCGTGCTTCCTAGGTTTCAGATCAGAAATTATGAAGAGGTGGGGAATGTAGTGAAATAGCACCTGCGGATGAGAAGCAGAGGTTGGTTGTCCAATATCAACAAGAACCCTATCAGTGCAATAGGAACGAAAACCTGCAAGCTGCGAGCGAAACTTGCAAGTGAAAAGTAGTCAGAGTAAATTGAAGTATTTGCAGCGAAAGCATAAATTGAAGAGTGAGAAGAATTGAATTGGCAAGCAGAAAAGCAAGAGTTAGAAGCAGTTGATAAAATGATTAACAGGATTTCCATGTTCGAACTGAGGCAGGCAGCAGGAAATGATTGGGAAGATACAAATATATAGTTTGGGTTGGTAAGAAAAGAAAAGGAGGTAGGAGGAAGCAGAAAGCGATGAAGGAAGACGTACTTGTGTGTGTGAAACTATCCTGGTTACTTTTCTTACAACACCCTGCATCTTCGTTTCGTTGGACCTTCTTTGTGTTCACCAGAGGTTTAAACTTTAAAGGGTTTAAGAGTGAGAGAGCGTCCAATTTCTGTTCGTATTTGTGTTGTAAAATAACATTTTTTTTAATGCAAAAATATTTATATATATTTGGAAATATTAATTAACGATTGCAACAAAGTATTGCTTAAACAAATTTCAATCATTTTAAAAAATCTAAAAATATATTTAAGTATATCATAAATATTTTTAATATTATCTCCTAATTAAAAACATAAATTCGACTGTGAAAAAAAAAAGATTTAGTTTGAATAACTTGCATACTAAACATACTTATTAAAAGTCAACGTGAATTACAAAATTGAAATTTTAATTTAAATATAAAGAAAATAATAATAATAATAATAATAACACTAAGTACACTCACATTATTGTATTTGAATACTACTGTTGGTGTTCTGGGCAAGTGCACCCAAGTCTCTGTAGTATAATTAAAAGGTTGTCGATCTTCAGGAACTTATGAAGTAAGTTATGATTTCTATTATACTAATTGATACTTGTAAATTGAAAATTTGAGTAATTACACATGTTCGAAGCTTGATGTGATGATTGATCAAATTTAAGTAAGCAAAAGTCAAATTAGATTTAGGGAACACAAATATGAGAAACAGTTGGGATTAGATTTCATCAATCTCCGTCCTATGCATTTCTATTGATTCCTTCAAAAGATTTCATTACTCATTGTCATTGAGTTCTCTAAATTCATTGAGACCCAATTCCTTGGCATAAGAAATTCTAAGATATTTAACTCAATGAATTCAGTTAAATATCCCACATTAAGAGTCATAACTTGTTGCAATTATTAATTTCAAGACCATTCCTGGCTCTCAAAACTAATAGGTGATTCGTTCCAAGTCTAGATTTAGAAAACGTTTTCCAACCCAATTCTAAATCCGAAATCAAAGATAAATGATCAGTTCATCAAAGTATTAAGAACAGAAACAAATCACTGACATAGAGTAATAGATGAGATATATATATGAATCAAAGAGGAATACAAAGGAGTTCGACGATTACATCAATCCCAACCCTAGAGCTTAGGTCTCCATAGTACAAGAAATCACCAGATAACAAGAAGAAAGAGATCCTTTGAAGATTCGTGTTCCCACGAGCTCCAAAATGCTTTGTTTCTCTCCTTTCTCTGTTCTTCTCTCTTTGTACAGCTTAGTGATGTTCTTTTTCTCTCTCCACTGGCCTTTTATAAGTGCTGGAATTAAAACAGAGTAGGTAGGAAAGAAAAGAATCCGCTCAGCGCCTTGAAACGGCTGAGCGGTTTGAAGAATTCTTCATCATGAAGTTATCTGAAGGGCTGAGCCGTTCAAATCCGCTGAGCGCCTAAGAGATTCTTCACTGTTAAGCAAGCACAAGGGGTTGGGCGCTTCATATCCGCTGAGCGCCTAGGAGGCAAAGAGCACTCCTTCTTCCAAGGCCAAAACCGCTCAGTGCCTTAGAGTGGCTAAGCGCCTCTCCTTTGCTGCATTTGTTGAGCTCTCTGGCTTGAAAGCGCTCAGCCATTTTAAACGGCTGAGTCGTTTGCCTCCAGATTTCAAAACCTACAAAATAACACTAAATTTGATCAAAAGATTCATCGCTCCCTGTACTAACATAAATCAAAAGTCCCTCTTTGATTTTAAGTATATATAGACCAAAATAATATCAATATGTACAAAAATTGTGCTAGATAAGTGTCTCAAATTCATATTTAATCAGGTTAGTTAGACACTTATCAACTACTATTATCCATGTTGATAGGACAAGGTAGGCCTGAGCATCGGTCGGCCACTTCCGGACCAAAATCTTTGAAATCGCCCAAAATCAATAAAGAAAAATCAAGAGTCATCTTCAACTGACGAAGGCCTCACTTTTTGTCAGGTTCAATCTGTGTGGGTTGCAAGTTAATCGATTAGGTTCATCAATTTGAGAAGGTTCCACTCGCGTCTCATGTCACCCTCTACCGTCGCCCTTCGTCGATCTCTATCACTGCTTCGTTGGGAGAAATTGTTGAGTTTTAGATTTTCACATCACCACCCTCTTCAACCAGAGCAGGGAACGGGGAGCTTCTCAACGACAGTGACCATAGCAAGAAAAGGTTGAAAAGAAAAAGATGTTTACATAGTGAAATAGAAGAAAATAAAAGAAGAAAAAGAAAAAGAATTAGAGGAATATGAATACGATGAAGAAAATGATAAACTATGAAGAATATGAAGATGAAGACAAAGAAAATAAGCGATCAAGCTCAGATATATTGGATGAGAAAATTCTAACACTAGGTCCAACCATTCACATCCGTTTGAACCCAAAATTTACACTAAGAAAAATAAGAAATCCATGAGAAGCAATCTGTTTCATCAAATCTGAACATCGATTTTGGATCAACCAAAAATTTTGCCCAGGCCCAAGACAAGGCTAGGGCAAATGACCTGGCCGATGTCTACCAATATTTGCAGGTATTTTATATTTTAAAATAAAACTTAAAAAATTAAAGAAAAAAATAACATTTTAGTTAAAGGGAAATAAAGGGGTGTGCATGCTCTTCCCTTCAATTATGCAAAACATTCCTATTAATCACGGACTCTCAACACGGCCTAACATTTACTTTGATCGTGGAGTTCAGCGTCTCTTTGCTGGTTTTAAATGAGGCAATTGCATAAAAAATAATAAAAAATGAAAATAAAATAAAATAGAGCATAGTACAGTTTTTTTGGGGTGGTACATAGAAGACAACATATCAAGCAATGAGGCATATTTGAATAATATAAAAAAACTTGAGATCTTTTTTGTTTGACCTCTTACAGAAAACGCCCAAGGAAATCCTTGATCTCATCAATGTAAGGGGAGCGGGTAGGAATTATATGACCACAATCATGCTCAACGATCACAGAACAATCACTATCATATAGAGAAGCGAGTTCCTTGCTAGCTTGGTTGGCTATCTGTCTGTCTTTACCATGTTCATTACCGAATATATGAAGAGAAGGGCACTTGATAGGGCCACACTCCATCTCTTTCATCCTGAGAGCAAAACCAGAGCACAAGACTACAAATTTAAAGTCCATTTCACCTTTCAGCTTTGCTTCTTGTGCAGATACTAAGGCAGCCATTGCTGCTCCCTGTGAAAATCCCAAGATTCCATCAAATGGTCCTTCTTGGGAAAACACATTCTTCAAGTGTGATAGAGAAATATCATAGCCATCAGTTTGCTGCTGGTATTGAAGTGGATCAAATGGGCCGTCTGCTACCTTCCAATCAACCCCACTAGTACTTTCATCAAAGTTGGGTGCCACAAACCATGCAAACTTCTTCTTGCAATTCTCTGAAGGTGGAGGAGGATTAGGTGGCAATGTTGATGCACAATTCACATTGAGCCCGGAGATAGGGGTTTGATAAATAAATGGCAATTCATGAGGAGCATCAATAAAAACAAATTCAGTCATTTTCTTGAGTTTCTTGGCTAGTGATGATGTTCTTCCTTTGAAGCTGGATGCATTCTGCCGAAACCCATGCAGGCACAAGATTCTCAGTTTTCTTGAGATCCTTAGATCTGAACATTAATCATTATGATGTTAGGAATTGCACACTTTCGGTAAATTATAAAGAGCATTTAAATTGCTTAAAAGTTTTACAAAACACGTGATATCAAGGTTTGTGAAGCAATATGGATCACAGACCTTACCATCTCCCTTAGGCACTTGAGGCAAAAATGTAATATCTGAAGAAAATTCCTGTAACTCAACACCTGGCAATGATGTTTTTGATTCACCATTTTCAATTAACTGCGTTAACCTAACAGCCTTGCCCTGCTTCTGACATAGCTCGCAAACATATGGGGTAGATTCATTCTGGTGGACCACAATAATATCATAAGCAAAGAAAACAAAAACAGCAGACGAATAGAAAAAAAGATTAGAGTCAAGAAATAGACGACGGTGGAGAAGGGATAAATTTTCTGGAGTACCATTTCAGAAATGTAGTTAATTGATCCAAGTTATAGGAGCCATGGCTTTAGGAGAAATGTTATTCAAATGCAAGCATGCATGAAGACCTATTTTGAGGCCTAATGACCACAATAATAGTTGGGGGCTTATACAATCAGTTAATGAACCTCATTTGAGAAAAATCCAACAATTTTCCTGATAACAAACTCAATTTCTTGATCAAGAGCCAAGTTACATTATTAGTGACCCAGAACCAGTTAAAAGTAAACCAGCTCATAAGCAAAACTCCAGTTAAGCTCAGTTAGTAAACTGAGCTTAGCTCTAGTTAAGCTGTTATTTGTTCATGGGCACTTTACAAACTAGCATATATAACATATCTTAGTTTAGTTCTCCAAATCAGCAGCATGCTCGAGACTGCTAGATCCAGTAAAGAATCTCAGGAGTATATTTTTTCTCCTTCCTAACTCCTTCAAGATGGTACAAACAGAAAATATTGGCATAGATAATATATACATTATCAGATCATACCTGGCAACTACTACAAACTAAAACAAGCATTCGGCAGTAAGTACACCGGCAGCGAGAAGAGTAATCATCAAATGAACATTGACAAATAAGGCAGGTACCAATAACATTAGCATCTGAACTTCCAACTGATATCCTGCAGTCAGAGGGAAAGAAATAAGAATTCATTACATCCACTATTGCAGAACCCTTATTATTTTGACCAGCTTCCAAGATTACCCACTCTTCACGGAACACATTCAATAACAAATACAAGCAATGAAACCACCATTGCATTGAGAACCACAAATGTTATCACAAGAAGACAAGAGCAAGTGAAACACCACTCACCCCCAAACTAAAAAAATGCAAAGATATCAAATTGAAATTAACGGTATGTGCAGCAAGCCATGTGAACAATACACCTGAATAGTGAAGGCAATAAAACCATGATGGTCTGTCCAGGTTCTCTAAATTGAGATTTAAGACCATAAGCAGTAATTTGGAAGGACTAAACATGTGACTATGAAAGTTAATTTTGCTCATCGTAAAGTTTGCCTTTCATTTTCTTACACTTGTTAGCGGAAATAACACATAAAATAAAATTCTAGATTAAGTCATTCCATCAAATTTAATTATTTTAAGATGCTAATTAAATTAAATGCTCTACAATTTGAGAGCAAAAAAAGAAAGGGGGGATAAAGGTGACCTGATAAAGAATAGCAATGATGGCGTTAAGAGAGAGAATGCAAACAAAAAATTTCAAATCAAATTTGGATGTAAAGCTTACAAGGTAATAGTAAAACATCTAAATCATACAAAAAAAAACTGAGAAATGAGTCAAGTCATTGATAATAAATCAAGAAAAACATGGGAGAATTAAAATCAAAGGAATAGGAAAAAATAACATGATTTGTAGAGAAGTATCCAGTCATTATTTAGTTCAAAGGATTGGTTATTTGAATAATATCTACTATAAAGGGTCACGTTGAATAACTAGTTCACAAATACAATAACACCTTAATAGATTAACTAAATCTACAATCCAAAAACAAAGTGCAATGGTTATAGAGTCCTGAAGCTTATATAATTCCATTTGCAGGTCTTCATCTTTTATCATTCAAAAAACAAAGAATCTACCACTATAACTATTGTTAACAAATGCAATCCGATCACAACAAGATTACAAGATACTCATACAGATTCATGCCTAAAATTATTGTTAGAATTAAAAAGGACGTACCGGTGATCAAAAACAAAATTCTTTCCTTTGAAAAAACCACCATCTGGGAATTGCTCCAAATACCGTTGTATGCCACCAAATAACTGCAGTTAATAAAAAATTACAAGAAACACTACTCATCAGCTTTAAGTCATTCTTTCCTTGATCATATTTCATAATTCTTACATAAGGATACAATTCCACCACAAGATTCCCACACTCCCCAGACTATTTCATTGCACACCGATAGCAAGGACCTCATGAGTTATGACTTAGTAGGCTGTATTATAAGGCACTAAGTTGTAACATGAGATGAACACCTTATGAAGAATATATATCCATGGCATATCGATGAAAAATCATTTTGTTTCCAAACGAGTGAGTAAGCAGAAGGAAAGTTCAGATTTTACCTGAAAGACATTCTCAAACCCAGCACCTTTTGACCTAATATACGCTGATGCCATTTCACACCTGATTCCACCAGTACAATACCTGTAACCAACAAGTGAAATTCCACAGCATAAATAATTACAAGTTACTCAAGTACAAAATGATCATTGCCCAGATACACTACCCCCAAAAATCACTGATCAGACATTTACAAGATCACAATTAGAATTTTATAAATGCTAATAAGGAACAAAGAAACTTACATGAGGATATTCTTCCCTCTCAACCGCTCACCGTTATCATCTATCCAGGAGGACAAATCACTGTACTGCCTAACCTGTGGATCCAAGGTTTCAACATTTGGCACATGAAACTTGCCAATTCTTGTTTCATACAGATTCCTTGCATCAAGTAAAACGAGGCCGTTTTCGGGACTCTCCTTGTCTAGAAAAGAACCAATTATGAATAGAAAATTCAGTGATTCAGGATATAACATGAAAGATATATGAAGTCAAAGGAATTAGGAAGATACTAGCGGTGTGGAGGGAAGAATGGAAATCAAGTGCAGAGAGATGTTTTCCAGCATTTGAGATATCTGGCGACTTCAACAGTGGATGGGAAGCGAGAGTGACAAGCTCGTCGACGATCCTAATCGAGAGAGAAGTGAAACCGCACTCCTTGGCAACCTTGTCGTTAAGCGGGTGATGACACGTGGCGAGCTTGAAATCAGTGTCGTGGAAGAATGCGTTGTAGGCTTTGACGGCATCAATGTGGGAGTGGAGAGAGGATAAGTTGGCGCCAACCTGCGCGAAGAGAGATGAGTAGGGAATGAAAGGAGAAAGAGAAAGGAGGGGAATAGATAATTACGGTGACATTGACACCGCGGGAAGAGAGGCGAACGCGGCCAAGGAGGCGGAGGGAGGAGCAGTTGGAGCGGTAGAAGGTGGCGAGGTCGTCGAGGTTGGGAACTTCGGCGTACTTGTAATAGAGAAGAACGGCGTATTGGTCGTTGTCTTTGTTCTGGGACATGCTATTGCCTATTGGTAGGGTTTATGCTCCGCTCGCCGTTATTTTCACTGCAGGGTTGCGCGATTCAACCTCTCCTAAGCTCCCCTACTACGGCCGTTTTGTTCCTCTCTTTTTTTCCAGATGTTTAACATTTTTTTTGGGTAAAAAAAAAATCATTTTATATCATCATTTTTACGATCAAAAGTATATATCAAGTTTTTTTTTCTTCTATTTCTTTACTATTAGTCAATAAAACTCAAGAAAATAAAAATAACATGTATAAAACTTAAAAAAAATATGTTTATTATCAAATCTACTAAAACATAGAATTCATGAAGTTAGTTAAACAAAAAGAGGATTTTATTTTATATATGTACGTAAAATCCTTAAGTAATCGTATTCTATAAGTCAAATAAATCTATTAAAGATTTGAGCCAAATTTAACTAGAAAAATTTAGTTTGTTTTTATTATAAAAAAATTGAAATAATTTACTTATAATTAATCGTGATAAATTGAGTTGAGTCACAGATCACTTAATTTAAATTTTTTTTTTAATTTTTAATATTAATTTATGTAATTATATATTTATATTATTAAATAAATTTTATATATAGTACGATAATTAGTGTTAATGTATTTGATATAAATGTCCAACGTTCATGCAAATTGCAAATAATGTTTACATATATATAACAATCGAATTGTTTTTGGAAAATAAAAAAATAATAATTTTAAATGATCAAACTCGATTAATAATTGGTTGGATTTGAAAAAACAATTACATAAACTCAATCCATATTGATTGAATTATGTATTATGAACTAGTGTAAAACAATGATTTTATGATGATTTTAATCCACCAATCATAATGCAAAATTTTATATGTTGAGTTGTTATTTTAACTGACATAAAAAAGTACTTTTATATGTTAATTAGACAAGTAAACAACATAATAAAATAAATAATGACATTTTTTTAAATAAGACAAAGCTTTGTGTTCGTTGTAACTAGCATAATGTAATTTTTTTTATGATGGTTAAAAAAGTAATGATCATATGAAATGTTTTAAAAAATTACAATGACTTTATAACATATAGTTTGTACTTCTTAGTTCTAGATTTTCATTTCTCCCCTTTTCCTTTCACTCTTCTTCATCCTTCTCGACATCTAGGTAAATAAAATTTTTCTACTCTCATTTTTTTGGGTTATTTTAATTAACATTGTGTGGTTTTGTGAGAAGCAAACACAATGGTGAAAGTCAGTATAAATAAGATGTTGCGATGTCATGCCAGAGGATGAAAAGAGCAATAGCAAGAAGAAAAAAGTGTGGGGAAAAAATAACATTGACCTAAAAATAAGAATTTTTATGTCATTTGTTTTTATAACAACATAAAAAAATATATATGACTTTCCATGTAAATTTTGTTGGTCAACATTGAAAGTTAGTATATATTTGATTTATAATTAGAAAGTTGAGTTGAATTCAACTTAACCTTGCAAACAAACTTTAAAAGAAAAAAGAAAAGACCTTCTAATTTTTTATTCAATTGAGATTTTCTTGTAATTCACACTCAAGAGGAAAAATATTGTCAAATAAGTAGGTGCTACATTCAAGATTTGCTAACTAAAATTTTAAGTTTCAAACTTACAATCAAGCATAATCTTAGACTTTCTATGTTGTTTGTATTTATGATGGGTTTGAAACTGATATAAAACAATTATTTTAATCATCATAAAATATGTCTTGTATGTAAATGAAATTTTGTCAAATTCTAATACAAATTGACCATTAAAACTCTAATGTTTAGTAATTTAGAATTAGAAGTGAGAGAAATGAAATAATATGGGTCTCACTCCATTCATTTTCACTCTCAAATGGATAAAAATAATAAGTACCTAATTTAAAAAAAATAATAATATATTTTTTATTTTTGTCAATTGTTTATCTTGTGATTTTTGATTCATCTTCACATTTCTATTAAACTAGACACTTTATTTTCACTTTATTTCACGTATTGTTATTCACTTTATTTCTTTCTTTCATGTAACCTATTCTTTATTTGTTTTTTTTTTTTTATTTCCTACCAAATACACTCTCAAAGTTGTGACAAACATGTACTTGGTACACAAGCAATGTACATATTGCATACTACAAATATGTATCAAAAATATATTTTTCTTTTGATCCTTCTTGCTCTCGTTCAATTTGTTATTACATGTCCCTATTTGTGTTCGGCAAATGGCAAGTGACCAAACATATATGTACGAAGTTTTCAATTTTTGCCTATCAAATTTGTCACCGACTATTAAGTGGAGCTTATTCCAAGTTTATTAATGTAAACTAATTGAAAGCGGATGAAATTTACTGACATAGTTGATATTTTTTATGCTCTTAGTTATTCTCTTAATGAACTATATTTAAGGATGATTATTTTTTTTGTGACTATGAATAAGGAGAAAATTGTCTGATATCATATTATCCTTGAATGTTTTAATATTATTTGTTGAATATTTATATATTAAATTTACGTGTATATATAAAATATGACACTCTCTATTTTCCAAATATTAGTATAAATGAAAGAATTATATAATAAAAGAAAACAACAGTATATTTTTAAATAAAAGAATTTTGTAATAGATATAAAAAAATTCACTCATTTAAAAAATAAATTTACTTAGATTTGCTTACTTAACAACTTGTGTTTTATATCAAATTTCAATTATTCAATCGTTAAATTTAAAATTTTTAATATATAGATTATGTATGCAATTTAAAAAAAATTAAAAATTATTAGATACTCCATTTCATTAATTTAAATCAATATATAAGATTTTTTTTATAATTATTTATCAATTTAAATTAACAAAATAAAGTATCAAATAATTTTAATTTTTTAAAAAAATTTACAAATATAATCTATATATTAAAAAAATTTAATATAATGATTTGATTGTAAAATTTGTGAAAAATATGAATTATTAGGTAAAAAAATTAAATAAACTTTCTAAAGATACATGTAAATAAAATGCGCCCTATAGCCAGAATTCAAAAATATTATCCTTTCTATATATATTCTAATAAATTGTAGTGACTATTTGCTATCTATATACTAGGGGTGAGCAACGGGTGGGTTTGGTCGAGTTCGGGTGAAAAATGTCCAACCCGTTGTAAACCGACTTTGAAAAAATGTGACCCATATCCGACCGACTGAGCTTTCGATTTGAGGCGGTTCGGGTTGAAACGGATTCGGATTTAAGCGGGTAGGTATAATCGGGTTTGAAATTTTTTGTAGACCAATTTATCTTAACGAAGATGAAGCTTAAAATGATAAAAAATATTTTTAAAATAGTGTATAAAAATAGAATGAAGGTGACAATAGATGGTGTAAATAGATTCGTAGTTGAAACATTTACAAACTAAAGAAGCAAAAATAAAAGATAACAAAATTCATAGTTGTTACATGGAAAAGAAATATAAAGTTAGATTACAAAGCCATAAGAAATCACAGTCACACAAAATGTACTCAAAATGGAGATAAGAAGATGGAAAAGAAAGACAAAGAAAGAAGCAAAAAGATAACTCTAAAAATGGACTAGTGTGTTGAGAAGTTGAATGAGGAAGGAGAAGACAAAATAAATATCTAAGTTATGAGAAAAAGGAAAAAAATAAGTTACAAATTGATGGCTATATTATACTTGAAATAAAGACTTTTAAATTTGGACCATTGTTGTTTAGTTATACAAAAGTAATAAAAATTTAAACTTATCTCATTTTCGGTTGGGTTCGGTATTTAGAGGATTTAAAAATTCAAAACTGAACCCGCCCAATATAACCCATATAAAATCAAAATTTTAACCCGATTTACCCATAAGACCCGCCCGAACCCACCCAAAAGCAATATTTTTTTTTCGGGTTTTTCGGGTTGGGTTCGGGTGTCGGTTTAATGCTCACCCCTACTATATACATGAGATTATAAGATATTATATTTTTTTTAATAATATTGGTAAATAGCGATAAACTAAAAAATTTGTCAAGTGAAATCTTACTTTCCAAATTTTGCAATTCCACTATCAAACTTATTGAATTTTATAATATTTTATAGTTTTATGTAAATAAACAATAAATAATTACTACATTTTGCTAGAATACATGAAAAAAGAAGAGTATTTGTGGGTATAGGACAGAGTTTTATTTATATGTATTTTTTGAGTAAATGAATCTTTCTTTTGTATATATATATATCTATATTTGTAATTCATAACAGTATATTTTTAAAACAATAAAATTTTTTATTTTTATTTTAATTTAAAAAAACTGAAGAAAGATCTTCTCATTTTTATTCCTCTCAAGTAAACAAAGATATATTAATCCCATCGAAACAGAGTTGGCGGGATTGATCAACATTCACTTACCAAAAAAAAAAATGTTTAAAATTCAAATTTCCCCCCAAATAAAAGAAACAGAACAATAGGTTGTGCGAATTTTGTCTTATTTTAAGCGAATTTGAATTTGATTGGCAAGGTGGTCGGATATTTGTTACAATGTTACTGTCAATAACAACTTGCATAGCTGTATTTGAGAAATGAAAAGCGTTCAAGCATTGAGCGCGATTTGTGCCGTAACTGTCACACTGTAGGTCCTACTTCTCCAAATATAACAATATAATCATTACAATTTAGTATTTACAGTATCATAACACGATTCTGAGTACCACTTACCATCAACAGCTGTAGCCGTAAATAATTTTTTGACCTAAAAAATGAAGACTTGTACCAAAGCTGTCTTGTATATTTATTTCGACAATCTCAATTGAAAGGAACAGAAAAGGAAGGAAGAGTGTGCAAGATGTGTGAGCACTGCACAACTCATGTGAGGACTTGACTGTGTTTAGTGGATCAATAATTTTTACTATTACCAATTAATTAATTATTATATTTATATCCTGAATCAATAAATACCCCACTCTGGTTACTCCCCTTTACAAGTGAGAGAGATGGGATGGACATTTGGTTGGGCGATGTGGGAGCTTTCAACATGGCCACAAACGTTGGCGTCGTTCATAAGTCCTCGGTGGTCCCCACGGCGGTTGTTGAGGTGGTCGGGGATGATGAGCGTCTCCATTGTGGACGAGTTCCTGTGGGGAGTGGTGACGGCGTTCGAGTCCGTGGCTCTTGTCTCCATGCTCTGTTTCTTCTTCTTGTTCTGTGGCTGTACCATCTGATCACAACCCCTTCATCTTTATGTTCTTTTTTTTTTCTAGTGCAAATTTTGCCCAACTACAAAGGTAGCGCCTCAAGGTTCAATTTTTTTGCTGCTTCTCGCTAAATTATAATCTTTTTTTTTTTCTTCTGGGATTTTCTTTTCAATGTAGCTCTAAATTGAGCATATTTTAGCTCCTTTTCTGTATGTATAAAAAAGGAGTGAAGAAGTAAATGGCGTTTGGAATTGTTCCGTTCCTCATATTCTAGTCTGAGATGTGATTTTCTCACCGGAGAGAACAACTTTGTTTGGTAATGGTAACCTAGGGGAGGATTACTACTGTTGGAAGAAAGGAAAAATAATTTGAATAAAGTAACGGTGAAAAAAATATTTTTTTTTTAAGTTGTTAAATAAGATGAGTTGGAAAAAAAACGTGTATAAATATAAAATAAGAAATAAGTGGAGAAAAAAAAAACTTCGTTAAATAGATGTTAAGAGATAATGTTATCTCTAAAGAGTGCCAATGTTATAATGTAGTTTTTTTTTTTTTTTAATTCATTGTGTTTCAGTATATTATTTTATTATTTTATAAAAGACATAAATACTATAAAAAAAAAACTATTAGAGTTAACATATTTCGATCAAATAAAAATTACTCTAATTCTAATATGTCCACAGAAAAATGAAAAACCTTAAATTTCTTACTGCTTTTCGAAGGTACAAATTTCCTACATATTTGTTTTTTACTTCTTAGAGACACAATTCCGTGTAATGTACTCTATATCAAGTTCATGACATTATTAATTTGTCCACACTTTTTAATTACGGTTTTGCACTTTGTTGTGAGAAAATGTGTATAAAAATTATGAAAGAAAAAGAAAATCAAAACTCTTTTGTCTTCCTTCCTTCTTTGTAAAAATTTGAAGCATAATTATACCTAATGTTTTTCTTTCTCTCACTCTCTTTTCTCTATTGTATGAAATATAAATATATTTACTCTTGTGTCTTTCTCACATGAAAAGACTGATTATTTATCAAAATAACATGTATTTTTATTGATAAAACTATTTTATTTGTAAAGAAGTTTGTGGAAGAAACTTAGGTTTCCTATCACTTTTAAAAGAAAAAACTTCAACATTCATGACATTAAAATTTGTATGAACTTTTAAATCATATTATAAAATTGTGTAAAGAAATATTATTACTGAATTAAAATCACCCAAGCATTATTTCTTTATTTTTTTCACTAAAAAGTGAAGTTATTGAATGTTTAACAAAATTAAATATTTTTTTCATGTTTACTCCTTTTTTTCCATCATTCTAAATATACTCATTCATTCTCTTTTACTAAGTAAAAATATATATTTATTTACGAAAATGTTGTGTAATTCTATCCACAAAACTATTTTTTTTAAATGATAACAAAAATATTGAGTTTTGTGTCTCATTCAAATTTAAAAGCAAGAATCTTGTGTATCTAAACATCAATTACATTAGAATTTTGTTTGAACCTTGTAACTAGGTACACATAGTGCAAAAAGAAGAAAAAAAATGTTAGCAAAAAGTATCAGTAAAGCAAAAAAATAAAGGTATTTTTTTATTATTTTTTTCTTTTCTCACAAAGATTAAAAGGTTTAAAATATACCTATTAAAATGATAGTTTTAACTTTGCATATCGGATTTGCTTATATTAATTGACTTTTTTAATAATGTTATATGTAATTTAACATCTTTAATTAAGGGTTTCACATCTTTAAAATGATAGGTTTGACTTGACATATTAAAAGAAGAGGAGAAACTTTAATAAATATAAGAGGAATGAAAGGGAAAAGAGTTTGAAATTTTGTTTAATCGAGAATAAATGAGGTAAATCTTATTTTGTTTGCTTCATAAGGGAGGAGAGATATTTTTAAATCAATTACCTTTTGTATTTTTATAATTTTAAATTTTAAAAATAAATAAGAATATTTTAGACATTATATTAAAAATATTTTAAAATCACTTCTTTTTATTTTCCTTTCCTAAAAAATAAACCAAGTAATAAAAGCTTTTAAAAACCTCTTCCATCCCTTCCAACTAAATACTATGTAAAAGAAAAGAAAGTATCAAATCATAATTTTTGGGCCTCATTTTTACTAATCTATCTTAATCGACTTGATGGACCAATGGGTCAATTTAACGTCTAAGTCAAGTTGGAAACCTTTGATTTAAAGTATAACGGTGTATAATGTCTTAATTTATTTATCACCTTAAGAGCATATTTAGATATAAGTTTAAAAATATTTTTATAAGCAATTTTGTTAAAAAAAAAAAAGCTTTAAAAAACGTTTTTATCTTGTATCCAAAGATACTTAAACTATTTTTTTTCCTTTCCAAAATGCCAAATAATATTATACGATAAGGGATCAACTTACTCTAATAACAAGTTTACTTAAACTTACTTTATCCCATAACCCATGTTTTACATCAAATTACAATAATTCAGTTGTTGACTTATAAGTTTTTAATGCATAAATTAAGTCTACAAATTTATTAAAAAATAAAAAAAAATATTTGATACTTTGTTTCATATTAAATCAATGTATAAAATACTTTCATGATTATCCGTCAATTTAAATCAAAGAAACTAAATATAAAATAGTTTTCAAATTTTAAAAAAAATTGAAGACTTATATGTATTAAGAACTTTTAACTTAATGATTAAATTATTAAAATTTAATGTAAAACATGAATTATTGAATGAAATAAATCTAAAATAGATCCAATTTCATACTACATTTATTCACTCACGTTTCTTGAGAAGAATAAATGTTTATATATTAAAATATTATGTATTTTAGTTCAAACAATTGTTTTGTTTGTAAAACGGCTAATGGAACTATCTAGGGATGGCAACGAGGCGGGTTGGGTACGGGTTTCATGATATTCATCCCCGTCCCCGCAAGTTAAACTCATCCCTGTCCTCGTACCTGTACCCGTCGGGTATGTGATTTTTATCCCTATCCCCATCCCCGTCGGGTATCGAGTATACTCGTACCTGTCAAATTTTTTTATTTTTTATTTTTTATAAAAAATATGATTTTTAAATTATTTTTTATTATATTATAATTATAATTAAGTTATTTCTCTATCTCATATTATAATAAATAATCACACATAAAAAAAATATTAAAATTCTTTAATATAATTAAATTGAAAGTGAGTATTAAATTAAAAATAAAAATAGGAACGAGTACAGGTACGGGTACGGGACGGGTAAGTATATACCCGTACCCGTACCCAGTCAAACTGGATATTTCCCGTCAAAGTCAGAACGGATTCAGATATTACCAGCGAGTACAAGTATATTTGCCATCCCTAGAACTATCTTAAGTTTTTATCACCATCAAAGTGAAATAAATAATATTTATTAAAATATTATGTACTTCCTACTGAAATGATGTAAAAGTCATATTAATTTTACAATATCATTCTCCTGTTGTTTATCTTTTTGAAAATAGACCAATAAATTAACCATCATGTGTCAAAAATCACCTAAATGGGTACTAATTTTTTTTTTAATTAATTAATTTATTTTTAACTTAACTAATTCTGGTTTGCACGTATGTTTTTGGGTCAACATATGGGCCTAATCATATGTTTGGGCTGTTATAGCAAGTTACAGTAAAGGTCTTTGTTATGAGTTATGACTAAACGGCGTAGTTTTGCAGAGTCCCAGCTCGAACTCGAAACTCCAAACCCTGTACCTGAACGCAAGGGTTGAAGCGAAACATGGGAATGGCATGGTTGCAGTTGCAGAGAATCATCACCAAGATCTCACCACTCCCACACTCTACGCCTTCTAGATTCTTCTCCAAATCATCCCCCTATGTTGGTAATTTTTTTCCCTTCTCTTTTTGGTTGAAACATGCCCTAATATGTGAGTAATTAACGATTACGATTGTCGCTGCAGTGAAGGTTGGAATACCAGAGTTTCTAAGCGGAATTGGGAATGGGGTTGAGTCTCACGTTGCTAAGCTTGAATCCGAAATCGGTGATTTCCAGAAGCTTCTAGTCACTCGCACTCTCAAACTCAAGAAGCTTGGTATTCCTTGCAAACATGTATGTTATGTTTCCACTCCATCTCTTCTTTTACTTTGCAAATGTTTATTGCTGTTTTGTTCTTTTAGATGAAATTAACTTAATATTTGAAATTAATTTTGCCTGGAGGGAGTATCTCTTTTTAAACCCATTCGATGCAAAATTTGGGGTATTATCTGTTCCCTTACTCACTAGAAGAATTTGGTATTTCTCCATTGGTAGGATCAGTGTTATCAATTGCAGATATCTAAGTTGTATAGTTGAAATATACGATACATATTAATTATAAATATATAAAAAAAAATTAAGTAGTATACAGAAAGAAATAAAATGCATAAAAATTGGTATAATATTGATTCAAAAGTTCATTTGGCTGAAGACATGATGAAGATGACAAGAGGTTCTTTGATCCTTATGTGAAGCCGAGGACAGAGGTTCACATATGGGAGAAGTTTAACAGGTTTTATGTTAGAGGGACACCAGGACTGAGTGAGAACAAAGTCGGGTGCAGTCCCATATCCATCTCTCAAAACTGTCACGCCTTGGTACATGCCACCACACCACCTATAGTGTCCATAGTTGCAAATGGAGTTGCAATTGCGGATCCAAGGAATTCTGTAACGCATTAGCAGCTTAATGCTATGTAGGCTGTTTGACAACAGAGTAGGATGACCACTAGAGGAAGAATATTAGCCACCTGTGAAAAAATTATAGTCTTTGTGGGCATGAGGCTAAAATGGTGATAAGAGAAAAAAAGAGCAAAAATGATCAATGGAGAGAGAGATTCTGAGCAGTGACGATTGAGAGAGGAAAACTAATTTTCTCAACTTAAAGTCTACAGGCCGAGCTACACACACACAAAGACATCAATACAACAACCAACTAACTAACTGTTCATATCAGCTATTTACATGTGTTCTTAAATTGAAAATTTACAATCAATCAACTAAGCTAATTGATTAATTAATCAGTAAAGGAATCAACTCCTTTAAGAAGTTTGAGAGCTATGTGATCAATTTGATGATTGATCATTATTCAGTAACACCTGATAAAGTCACTGAATTGTTGTTAACTGTTATTAGTTCAATCTATGTTGGATTGTGGCCTGTTTTCTTTCTTATCTCCTCAGGCAAAGTTGTGTATAAATCATTAAATCTCATGACTGGCATTGTAACTTTCTGCTTGGTTGGAGGGAATTGGGGGACCCAAACTCCCTCCCCTCCATTATATGGGGATTTCATTTTCCCTCCCCTTCCCTAATTGGAATCAAACAGCCCTTTAAAGTGAATTTGAACGACGATGGTCTATGTGAAATTTATCAAAATTGATTATTTAGAAGGTCTTCAGGACTCGGTGCTCTTGTATCTTACAAAATAAATTGTTAAACATATAACAAAGCCATTCATGAGTATTTGTTTAACAATTTGAGCTTTTAAGAGACTTGGTGTTTGACATAAATTACATATTTGAAAAATCTCTACAAATTTTGAACTTGCAGCTTTTCCTGTCCTTGACACAATTTATTCTCCTCTCGATGACTGCTAGGCTGCTACATTTTCTACAAATTCCCTCTTGCTCTATCACTAAGAGCATTGGAGCATCTTCAATGCAGTTGCTTATTCAAGTTTCATAAAGTTAAAAAACGAGATTTCACCTAGTTCACTGTTTGAGCAAATGATGCGGCATTGCTTATCCGAGTACAGTTACTTATATAAGCACGGTGCTTAAGATATTTGTAACAATAAAAAGGAATAAGAAACTATGTTACCACTGTTGGAGTAATATAGCAGTGAAGTGCTTACAAGTATACGTAGCAAATTTGACCCACCAAAAAGTAAATAAGGAACTCTCCTGGCAACTATGCGGTGGAGATGCTCTAAGTCGTTGGACTGGCACTAACATGCTAGTAGTAGAGAAGGGTGCACATGTACATATTGTTTTGTTTAAGTGATTCTGTTTTCTGCATCTATCCGTCTGTGTGGAGTGTGGACTTAGGTGTTTGATGTGTACTACTGTCATCTTCATCCTGACATATACTTGGGTTTGGTATATGATTATATTAACAGCATCTTAGATGTCCTTAGGCATGTGATTCCCATCAATTAAAAGTTTAAAACAAGGTCAGACTTTATGAACTTAAACGGTAATGCTTTATGAACTTAAATTACTATTTTTTTATAAGACCAAACATGAGTAACTTAGATGCTTCTGGAACACAATCTTACATCCAATTCAGCAAAAAAAAGAAAGTATCTTACACTCATGTATCTAATATAAATGTGTACCAGATAAATCTTAGGTCTGTTTTTGACTCTATTATTGGAAGTAAAATGATTCCCTGTCATGGTAGTCACTTCATGTGAGACAGTTTAGGTTTTTCAATCTCACAACTTCTTGATTGGAAATGACCTTTTCACTTTTGGTAGAATTCTTTCTTTGTTATGTTACGTACATGGATTTGATTTATTTATTTTTGGGTCACAAGACATACAATTGTTTAGTTCACTCGCAAATTCTCTCTAACAACTAGTTTTTTCTTTGCAGAGAAAATTAATTTTGAAATACACACACAAGTACAGGCTGGGATTATGGAGGCCACGTGTTGAATCTATCAAAGCCTGATTCGTTTTCAAGTAGTAAGTAGTCAATGTTAGACCATATTGCAAATGTTTAGCCGCAGCAGAATGATAATGCTCGACTTTACATGAAAAGCTCAAGTCACTCACTGGCTTTGGAGACCACCTATCTATTTCATCACATTCATCCCTTGTGGACAAAGTTTGGTATTTACACCAGTTATGTACGATGATGGACTTGTCTTAATTGACAGTCTGTATTTGTTAGTATTTCATATTCCCGGTGACATCATTTCTTGTTTTGGCGAAAAGAATATTGAGGGCTTAGGAGTCCTCCATGCTTTCATTTATTTCATGATAGTTGCGGTTAAATCCAAAGACACTATTGCAGGCATATGTTGTGCACGATAAAAGTAGACATTAATTATATAATTAATGGTAGTCCTAGCACCTAGCAAGTTCCACTTTGAATAATTTTTTTTTTGAGGGTCATGCATATGATTAATGGTTACGAGGAACTGCTAAAGCCTGCCTTAATGTTGGTCGTTCTTTATTGATGGGCCAAACTTCCTCTTAAACTCGGTTTGGGCTGTTGAGTCCTTTTTATATGGGCCGATAATGAGACCTCACTCTTTGATTTTCACTCGGTGAAGACTAGTTTTGCAAATTTTTTGGCTTAAACGAGTAGTACTGTATCATAGTTTCGTGTATTTGGATCCCTATTAATCCTAGTTATTTGAGTGATCTACTGGTGTATGTTTATATGAAAGTATGGGGGTAACACACTATTTTTATGTGAAATAAATTATTCTCTTGGATAGATAAACTTGGTTGTTTCTTAACAGTGACAGGGATCATTTTCTGTTTTCATTTCTGGAAAAAAGTAGAAAATATTTTTTATTTTTACAAAACATTTTAAAAAATGAGCCCGGAAACGAAAGTAAAAGACATTTTTTTCTATGCTTATAGAGTAAGTATTTTAGCATTTGCAGCAAGAGTTCCATTCATCATTGACCGTTTTCCTGCTTTGTTGGAGAGTCTGTTTGTGAAGCCTCTGTGGAAATAGGCTAAATGACGCCAACGTAGTATAAACCCAATCTTAAAAGTTTTTAAAAAAACCTATTGGGTCTTCGAGCAGACCAAGTAAGGCCTTAAAAATTGCTTATATGATGAACAAATCAGGCTCAGGTTTTACGATTACGAGCCAAGGCCTGCACAAATTTACCAAATCTTAGCCTGATTTGATCATTCACTCTGTCACCTACCTTCACCTTTTGTGACTTCCATCTCCTTAGCCTCATTGCCATTGTTTAAACAAAAAACAAATGGTAATTTAATAATATATTTTTTTAAATACTACTTTAATCTTTGAGAAAAATCAGATATAACCTTAATACATAATCTTTATTCAAAATTTACTGTGGCTAGGCTTTTGTAGCGTCTCACACTTATAGATTGGTCAATTGACATGAGTTTGGTAAGCCTAACTTTGGAAGTTACTACTTTTGAAATGACAAATCTAGAATGTGAGATACTCATCCTATAAGAATCACAAATACTTATTCCAATGTCGGTTTAGATTTTTCTATGTCGTGGATGGTGGGGAATGCAATGCAGCTTACTCCTTTTTCTCAAATCATAATAATTTTTAAATTAAATAAATTGTGTGCATACCTTTTTTTATTTATTAGTTTTAGACACAAACCCACCCTTAAAAATAACTTATTTTTAACACAACGAGATAGATAAACAAAAACATAGATAAAGATATGATAAGAACCAACGAGGAATATAGAGGATACCTAGAATAGAAAAGGGTATCAGGGATGGCACATCCCCGAATTTTGAACATCATACTAGATATCATATGCCATGATGATATATCTCACTCATTTTTTTTTTGTCATTTTTCTATATTCACATTTAAAAAAACACATGACAAAAAATAAAGAGACAATAAATCTTATCCTAAAATTGTTGTGTCAAAAGTAATACTGATAGATCCACAGGAGTGGTGGGTCAGGCAAGGTGCATAAATACATCAAAAGTTTTTGTCCATCCTTGAAAGAGGCCACGTGTGGTAAGGGACACTTAGGACCCACTCCCTAAAATAGTAGTTGTTGTATTTGTTTGTGCCACACACCTTTCCCTCTGTTTCTTTCCCTATTTTTTTTCTAATGCCTCTTTCTCAACCACCCTCAACACCCTTCACCCATTTTTGTTTTTCACAATAACTAAAAACAAAATTAATCAACCAGCTGATCATGCATACTATCGTGTAGGAGAAAGTCCAAAACAAATAATATTTTATTTTAATGTGCATGAAGAAAAAAAAAAAGAATGTGAGATTAAAAACGAATTAAAGGAAAACACGATGTACTAAATTGATATTAAATAGGTTGTGTTTTGTGAGCCACCACGGTACGTCGACTTTATGTTGAATTCATTGAATTGAAATGGGTGAAGCTGGTTTGTTTGACACACACTTTGTCGCTTACTGGGTTTGGGCCCAACCCAATGTGACCACTCTTTGTTTTCGTTGGACTCTGACAACTCGAAAGTAATTCTTATGTTGTCGCTTACTAATTCCACTATTCTCTTACTCTTCCACCCATCTAATCTAATGAAAGCTTGGGCTTAACTGCTACTTATTGCTAAACCAAACAACCCTCTTTAATCTCTAGACGTGACTTGGATTGGACCTTTTCTTTATCTTAATTCTCATTGCAACACTAAAGTTCGCCAATAATGAATACATTATAAAAAGTACATAATTGAGATTTATTATAGTTTTTTTTCTGTTGTGCTGAATTTTCAGTTACTAGAATTGAACGAGCCCTTTTTATATTGCGTTTATCAACATTTTGGTACGTTGATGTGGATGGTTTATCTAATTATCTTCCTTCCCTCCTCCTAATCGATAATTTCACATTTTTAATGAATTTAATTTCAAGATATCTAAATTGAACTCGCTGACACATGCATGGGTTCAATAATTAGGGTGTTGATTTGAAAGGTTGATTGTTGTTTTTTTTTCCCTTTCTCTTTTGGCCATTTGCTTTGATTTTGATAAGACCAAAGGCAGAAAAAACTAAAAAAGCAAAAGAATATAAAAATATATATAAGCAGAATAATGTTTCTTTCTTGAGGAATGAGGAATATGCAAGTTCTTCCTTTTGATCCAAGTGTGACATGTCATTTGGCGGCACATGCATCCAGTTATACAATTACACAGTTTCAGGTACATCATCTGAATTCTGAACAAAAAGTGACACCCCAGAAAACAACCCAGAAAACAGGGCATTTCTGCAAAACCACGCCTTGTAATTTTCAAAATTAAAATAAAATAAAGCTATTTCGAGAAGGGACAGAATTTCCCAAATTTTTGGAGGTTAATATTTTTTTTAAGGAATCTAATTAAACAGGATTACGATTAATAACAACAACAAGCAGAAGACATATTTAAATTTCAAAGGTTTTGATAAAAAAAAAATGAAAATCATTTTCGTTGTAGTTTAATTGTCCATTATTTTATTTTTTTAACACTTCAACATGGAGTCTGCTAAACTAGAATAATACATGGATAAAAACACATGATCCAACCAAGAGACGTTAGTAAAAATAATTTAATGTTTAAATATTTTTAATTGAAGAGTGAGATTCGACTTCAAATTTAAACATGAAGTTATTATTGGAAGTATCATTTTATGTTTATAAGAATTAACTAATAAAAAAAAGTAATATCTTTTTTATTAAAAACAAAAAACAAAAACACACACACAAGGCAAAACATAAAATCTTTTAAATAGTTAAGAGGTTAATCGTTCTACTTATACTAGAAGATCCTCTTTAATCAGACAATAAAAGCAAAATGGGTCAATCCCCAAATTATGATGCTTTAGGCTCCAAGGCTCCTAAACATATGATTACTTCACCTGTTTGGTGAACATAATGTGCACCAAAAGTGAACTGCTTGAAACACAATTCAAGATTTTGGAACCATGACACCAATCATGACACTAAGGTAACCTAGCTGCTTTGTTTTTGTTTTTGTTTTCAATATTAAAACAAAAGGTAGATTTATGAAAGATGCGGCAATTATATATATATATATATATAT